TTTGAATACCAAATGATGGCTACAAGAGCAGGCTGTTACTGCCTTCATGCACCACTTGTTCACTTCCCAGACACCCTTAGCCACTACTGGATAAAACCTTATCATATACCACAACTATGATGCCACATTTCATGCTTCAACACAGCAAGCTGTCTGTGGGAAGAACTGTGTGATGAAATCTACTTTGACTTCTGGACTCAAGGCAGTCTTATCTCTTTGCTTCCAGATTTGACCTTTGGCTACACTACTAAGCAAGTGGACATCCAGAATATGAGCAGAGGGCTGGTGTAGGGGTATGGAAGCAGAAGATCTTATTGAGGATCTCTGCCCCTTCGGAGTAAACAGTGTTATTCAAATATGTTTTGTAAGCTGCCTTGACAGTTTAAAATAATAATAATAATAATAATAATAATAAAATTATTTCTATACCGCCCAATGGTTGCCCAATCCGGGTGGTTTACAGCATAAAAATCAGTACAATAACAAATATATCCCCCCCTTAAAACAGTATTAAACAGTACATAGTTAAAAGTCCTAAGACAAAATACAAAAGAAATTAATAATAATAAGGACAAGATATATCATCCCATTGTTACATTACAGGGAACCAGGATCAACTAAAGGAGGGAACAGCCCGGGACTAGGCAGTTAATCTGGGAAGGCCTGCCGGAAGCGATCCGTCTTGACAGCTTTTTTAAAGCTGTCCAAAGATGTTAGCTGACGGATCTCGTCTGGCAGGCCGTTCCAGAGTCTAGGGACGACGATAGAAAAGGCCCTCTGGGAGGTTGCGGATAGCCTCGATCTTTGAGGCACTAAGAGATTTCTCCCCGAGGACCGGAGCACGCGGGGGGGATTGTACGGGAGGAGGTGGTCTCTGATATAGCTTGGACCCAAGCCATTTAGGGCTTTAAAGGTGATAACCAACCCCTTGTACTGGGCCCAGAAGCGAATAGGTAGCCAGTGGAGGGACCTCAAAACCGGAGTGATGTGGTCCCTCCTGGATGTTCCAGAAATAAACCTGGCTGCCATGTTTTGAACCAGCTGTAGCTTCCGAACTAAGCACAAGGGTAGCCCTATGTACAGCGCATTACAGAAGTCGAGGCGTGAGGTTACCAGTATGTGCACAACAGTCTCGAGATCCTTTACTTCCAGAAAAGGGCGCAGCTGGCGTATCAGCCGAAGCTGATAACAGGTGCTCCTGACCGTCACGTTAACCTGATTTGCCATCAGGAGTGACGAGTCAAGGAGCACCCCCAAGCTGCGAACACAGTCACTGGAGGAGAGTGTGACCCCATCCAGGGCTGGAGGTTGCAACCCAATTCCTGGTTTCGGGGCCGCTACCGTGAGCACCTCTGTCTTGACTGGATTCAATTTCACTCTTTTTTTCCTCATCCAGCCCATTACTGCCTGAAGACATTCATTGAGAGAAGAGATGCCATTGGAGTTTGAGGCCAATGAACGAGACACGGAGAAATAGATTTGAGTGTCATCAGCGTACTGATAACACCCAGCACCATAGCTTCGTATAATCTCACCCAGCGGCTTCATATAGATGTTAAATAATGTCGGGGACAAAATAGCTCCCTGAGGGACCCCACAAGTGAGTTCCCTTTGAAAACAAGAAATGAGGTACATGTGACCCTCCAGAGGTTCCTGGATGGAAGATCTCAAGATTCATCATCTCTGCCTTTGCTGGCTAGAGTACTGCATTGTACTGTATTGTATTATTTATTACCCCCAGCCCTTCAAGCTGGGATTCAAGGTGTCTTTCAACATGAAACCACAATGGCAGTTCAATATTTGGAGGGTTACACATTCCTCCAAGCTATTGCCAGCCAGACAAATCGATCAATTTGACTAAAAGCAAACTAGTGAGGTGTCTATCACAATAATTTGTTCAATATGGCAAACTAAGTTCAAGGCACAGGTAGAGTCTGAGCATTTCCCTTCCAACATTTATTACTTCTCACCCAAAAAAGCACTGAAAATAATAATATATCTTGCTCCATGTTACTGACCCATTTTCTCATGCTGGTGGGAAGAAAAAGAAAGAACAAAACAAAATTCAGGTAGACTGACAGAGTATACAAATTTGCAACTCTCTGACAGTATACAAATTTATGACTGCAAGATATGGTAACAAGCATAACATTAGATGGCATTAACACCAAGTAGGCAAATTCACAGCGAAAACACTGCTCATGGCAGCTACTGGAAACTCAATGTTCAAAGACACATGCATACTTCTGAAAACCAGATGCTAAGCACAACCAACAATAGATGGCTGTCATCTTTCTTTAGAGGCGTTCAGAGATATTCTGTGGAACCAGGACAATGAAAAAATGGGTCCTGGACTCTTCTTGGGAGTCCGACTTACATCTTAAGTTGACAACCACATTCAATGGAAAGATTATCTCTTAGACTTTATAGTTGGGGAAAATGTTTGATTTCTATGTAACTATGTCAACTGATGTTTCTTAACCCAGTCAATATTACTTTATGTTAAATGCCTGCATTTTGCAACTAAAGATCATGAATTACTTTTAACTATGACCAGAAAGAGCGCCAGTGAAATCAATTATGTTAAATAAGCATACATAATAAGTGTAACATTCCTGAAGCTAACCTTCCCTTTCAGGAAAGTTAATAACTAGTAATGATATGGTTCTACAGCAAATCTGCAATATAATTAAATTAAAACTACCCCACAATTACAATTTCAACTTCCTCCCTGTGGAATATGCTATGAGAATACACGTTGCTATTCTGAGGTATGCAGATGTACTTTTAAATCGCTAGAGCAAAAACTTCAAGCAGAACTATTTTTTCCACACCAACAATATTATTTTGGTGATCTTATTTTCTCAAGAACAAACATTTTATTTATTCAGATTGTTTACCTGCCTCGCTCACCATCTGAGGGAATTACAACAGAATTCAATCAATAAAGTAATGAAAGTTATATCAAAAGAGAGGCGGCAAATCAGTACACACAAGATTTATTCACACACCTGAGAAATAAGTTGGGCTGGGTCAGGAGGGTCTAAAATCAATGAGTAATCTTAATAGCACAATGATAATCTAAATCCATGTCTCCATGGTCCAACTTCCTATCTTAGCTATCCTGACCTAGTGCCCTCCAGATATTATGGATCACAACTAGCTGATGACTGGTAATGCTGTTTGGAATTAATGAGAACTATAGTCAAAACAGCCAGAGAGCACCACACTGGTGGAAATTACACTGGTACCTTGTTTCATTGTGAAATTTATACAAGATATTGAAGGATTTAGCTTAGAAAAAAGATTTATGCCAATGATTACCAATGGGCTGAGCATCATCCTACAAATGTATTTTTTGTGCCTCTTTGGGTCCCTTTCTGAGAGAAAGGTGGCATATAATAAAATAAAGATGCTCCACATAGATTCTCTTTATCTTTTTGCATTGCTGTAAAAATATTTAAATCTAAATCCAATCTTTGTTGTAGAGATCTAAGAAACAGCCCTGGGTAGGAGATAAATTCAATTACTTCCTCAATGTTTGATTCAGCAAAAACTCTGGAAGACTGATGCACCACATAGTTTCAGTATATTAACTCTGGCCAGTATCCTCCTGGGAAGTTACAAATGTGTAAGCACCAGAGTTGCGGTGCTACTCAGTGAATCCCATTCTGATCTCCCCTATCCCCACTTACCAGGCAACAACTACAGCAGTCAATGAAGGTCTGTTCCCGTCACTCAGGAAGCAGATGACTGACACACACCACTTGCCCAGACCCCTGTTGCAATTCACCCTCATGCTTCTTGTGCAAGAGCTAGGGTGGGACTGTCAGCAAACTGTTTTCTGATTGACAGGGAAACAGACTCCCATTAGTTGCAGTTGAGTAAATGGGCACTGGAGGACCTTCACAGTCCCTATGTATGTCCTCAACTAAGGACAGCTGAAAGTGTATAACTCTAGATCAGGGGCAGACAACCTTTCCCCTTTAAGGGCCGAGGGACTTCAGCTCCCAGAATCCCAGGAGCTATTGGCCAACATGGGACTATTGGCCAACATGGCTGAGGCTTCTAGGAGCTGAAGTCCCTCGGCCCTTAAAGGGGAAAGGTTGCCTACCCCTGCTCTAGATTATCCATTCGTAACAGCCTAACAGGAGTTAGGCCTCTGTTTATATGCCGTAATTTTGGGGTTAGCTATGTGATGGCTAGGGGTACCATAGAATTCCTGGACACTTCTCCTGGCACCCATTGAGCTTCTATCCCTCCCAATTTTTAAACATTATTGTCTTTTTTTTCTTTTAAAAAATACCTTATGAAGCTAGAAACTCATCTGATCATCCAACTTTCCTTTCTCTCAATTTCCCCTGGGTACCATGTGTGTCCAGAGCATTTTTCAGTGCAGGAGTGAGTAAATCTCAATGGCTGACATAATGTCAGTGTGCCCTACTGAAAAAAGTTTGGAAGTGGAAATCTGAAAAAGTTACTTTCTGCCTATCCACCCTTTAGAACAGGGGTCCTCAAACTACGGCCCGTGGGCCGAATCCAGCCCGCCGAGGCCATTTACCCGGCCCGCGTCCTGCCAGGTGTTTTTGCTGCCACTGCCTGTACTGCTTGTCCACTGGGGACAATAGGACTTTGCCCCCCTGCTGCCACTCAAAGCCCAGGGGTTCCTCTACGCCACGCCAGACTCCCTGCAACGGCCATACAAAATTGAAACAAAAAGACGTGAGGGAGGGGGGGCAGAGAGAAACCGTTAAAGCGGTTAAGCGCGTGTGCTGTCGTTCTGGGAGCAAGTTCTGGGAGTTGCCATGGTTATCCTCTGAGGCTGAGAGAGTATGACTTGCCCAGGGTCACCTAGTGGGTTTTCATGGATTCAAACCCTGCACTTCAGAGTTGTACTTCAACATTCAAACCACTACACGTGCTCATTTTATTTCAATATGCCTTCTGTTTATCGATTCCTCAAAGTCTGTCCCAATGTTGTTATTTTGGGAAAGGTTTGAGTCAACATGGGTTAGTGGTTTGAATGCTAGACTATGACTCTGGAGACCAGGGTTCAATTCCCAGCTTGGCCATGAGACCCACTGGGTGACCTTGGGCAAGTCACACTCTCTCCACCTCAGAGGAAGAGAAAAGCAAATCACACCCTGCTGATAGGCGACGTCCTCCTTGCAGCAGAAACAATCTGATTCAACACCACTTTTTAATTACCGCCGCTCTGTGTTGTCCCCCCCGTCCCAAACAAACAAACAAACAAACAAACAAACCACACACACACACACACACACACACACACACACACACACACACAGAGTGGGTTTTTCAGGCTGTAAGACTGTGTTCTAGAATAATTTATTATTATTTTTATTTTATTTTATTTTAAACTATATTCCGGCCCTCCAATGGTCTGAGGGACAGTGAACTGCCCCCTTGTTCAAAAAGTTTGAGGACTCGTGCTTTAGAGGGAAAGACGGTCCCTGTATCTTTTTACTCAGTTACTAAATACTGGAGGAAGAGAAGGGGAATAAAATCTACTGCTTCATAAGCCCAGCCTCTACAGCTCCCTCCCTAAAAAGTTAGAAAGACTATTCATCTTCACATCCCTGCTGAAAATATTATCCATCTACACAGAAAAACACGTCCCATGGGAATAATTTTCACAATTCATTTTATTGTTTAATATTGTAATTATTGATTTTTGAATTGTTCAAAATTGTTTTATAGTCCCCCCCACCTTTTATTTGTCTTGTGAATTCTTTGAAGATTGTGCAATACTCAGGCTATAAACAGATGATATAAACAACTAAGATAAATTTGCAGACAATCATCCTATTTCAGAAAAACAAGTTTTGGGAATCAAGTTTAGAAAAAGTATTTTGAGATTAGTTACGGAAATTGGCTTATCATCTTGCGATATTGAAGTTTTACTGGAGTAAAAAACTGCAGGTTCTCTCTCTCTCCCTTTTTGTGAATGTGTGTGCTTGGCCTCACCAGTCTGTCTTTCCATGAAATATATGTTTTGTTGCAGTAATACACATTCTAATTGTCCACATAATCTTGTACTCTTTTCTGATGGAGCAATTAATACTTTTTCAAAAACCCAAGTGTACCTATGAGGTCCAAAATTTGGAGATGGATAAATGAAACTGCTATGTCTGACACTAATACGCCTTACATTCGCCTCACCATCACTGTCAAGAAAACCACCATTATCAGCAATAGGCATGTTAAAACTTAGTTTCACTGTAAATAAAATGATTTGTGTGTATGGGTGGTGGCAGAGAGAGGGGATTATAGCAGGAAGCAGGACTGCTAAATCAGTCCCTTTTTTCATCCTGCGAGATTCCCAGAAAAGTCCTCTAACTGGAACTGGTAGAGTGAATGTCCCTTTGACACTGAAATTAATGGAGCGGTTAAAAAACAAAACAAAATCAGTAAAAAGTCACCATAAACCTTCTGCTCTGGCTAACCAGCAGTGCTTTGAAAGTGATAGATCATCACCATCCTGCTCAAGGCTGTTGTCTAATTCTACCAGGTAAGAGCTTTTAGGAAGTAACCACTTCCATACAAAATTAAAATACAGAAAACAATTTATATTTAATACCTTCCATTGTGTTGCTCATTTAAAAGTATTTACTAACAGTTTACCCAGTGCTACACAAATGGCATTACTGTGTTATTAGGATTCTATGTTACAATATTACATGCATGATAGTATTAAAATGTCACTACTAATTATGTGGAAAACACTTTGTAGAGGGCATCTGAAGGCATGAGCTTATTCAAGAGTGGCTGACAGCAACATTTAATGCTCTTAAGGTACTATTATAGAAGGACTCACAGATGTAAAAATGGGGTCAAGGTATCCAGATCAATAGATAACAGCTATCAACTGACACTATCTAATGTTGCATTAGATATAAAGAGATAAAAATGATACAAAATAAATTACTGCTGAATGTTATACGATAATCGAGCTGTCAACATATATTTGAAAATTAGATTTGAAAAAAAATGAACAAAATCCACTATATAGTGGATCAGTTTTATAATGAGTCAAGAGAAATTGTGGTGAGGAGATGAGCTTCAGATGAGGTGTATCTTCTGAGCATCTGGAGTATAGCTCTCAGCTTTTAGAATTTGGGGAGCAGAGCTTGGAAGAGTTAACTTTTTGGACTGCAATTCCCAGACTATTCCTCCTAGGCGATAGCTGTGCTGGCTGGAGGACTCTGGAAGCTGCAGTCCAATAAAATAAAATAAAATAAAATAAAATAAAATAAAATAAAATCATTTACAAGTTCTGCCACAGACTTCAAAATGGCATACCCTCACTCTGATTCTCACAGCAACCATATGAGGTATACAGTTGTCCCCCCCATTTTGTGGACTTGGAATCTGTGGTCTTGCTCTTCACAGGAAGGACAAGGACCTATTAATATAATGGCAGCATGTGCCTGTGCGCACACCCGCCACATTTGCGAGAGGGTCCAGAATGGATCCCCGCGAATTAGGAGGGGCTACTGTACTAGTTTAGGAACAGCAATGTGACCATGCCCACTCCATGAACTTCAGATCTGAGTGGGGACTTGAACTGGGGACTTTCCAAATCTAGTGTGATATTCACACCACAACATTGCTACACTTCTCACCAACTTAAGTTACTGCCCCAAGGAAAAACTGAGCTAGAAACATGTACTGTAATTGCTTTCTTCAAGTTCTATAGGTTTATAATCAAGTATGACTTGTATTACTCGTATGACTACTTACTCATTAATTATCAAATCTGGTGCAAAACAAAGCAGACTTCCATTAGATTGTTTATATGATCTCCATCCAAGAGCAAAAGCCATCAGAAACATCCATGAATACTGCAGAAGGGTCATTTGGTCATCCAAATGCAAGTTCCTGAAACCTGGTGAGAAATAAAGATGCATGCTCTAGCATATACACTGTCATGATTAAATACTGCTTATACAAAATATTGTTTTGAAATTTACAATTCAGAATAATTCCATATGGCCTAACTGCAACAGTTTCAAATTGAAATGAAATTCCGTCAGTACGTTTCAGAAGAAAAATGACAAGCCAATGAAGGGGGTTAGCATTTTCTTTTCTACAGAAAAGTATGTCCTTTTGAAAGTGCTTGCAAGGTTGAAGAGACCACTGGCACTTCACTACACAGAGTTGTAGTGTGCTGTTTCATGTGCCAATACTCAACCCAGTTCAAAAAAACAAAACACCAGAGGAATAAATTAACTAGTAATAAAATTCTGCAGAACAAGAGCCCCAAAATTGCCCTAAATGTTACTGTAGAAAAATTCTCACTGAAAGATTGAATGACTACTTGTACCCTTCAAACTTCTTTATAAATGGTGGTTTCATATTTGCACCCTCACCTTATAAACACAGAAAAATAACCCAATAGTCTCAGGAGCATATGTCTGTACCTTATTTCAACTACATTTAAACCTTACAACACAGAGGAAATAAAATATTAATATGCATCATTTACATTATGTTGCAACATCACAATCTTTCTGATTATTAAAATGATTGAAATTCACTTATGTTCCATGAAGCTCAAAGCTCTTTTGGTTTATTATGAATAGCTACTAAAGCGATCATGCTATGCAAATAAAATCCTGTATCACCTTTCGTACAAGGACAGTCAGGACTGGAAAAGAAACAAGGATTTCTTATAAGAACTGCTGAACAGAGTCAATCCAGCTTTTACAGTAAGGTATTTTTCTTCTGTCTAAAAAAAAGAAAAAAGAAAAAGAAAAAAAAGCCTACAACAGTTCTCCTTGATCCTCCCCTCCACGTCCACTGCTGATGTTATCCACAATGGGAGCTTGAAAAAACAAAGGATCATATAATTTTTAGAAGAGGAAGGGACCACAAGGGACATCTAGTTCAACTCTTGCCATGTTGTTCCAGCACTCCTAAAACATGCCCATCCAACCTCCATTTAAAGACTTCCAAAGATGAAGAGTCCACCACCCTCTGAGGCACTTGTTCCACTGCTGAACAGTCCTTCCAGTAAAATTCTTCCTAATGTTTAAGTAGGATCTCTTTTCCTATACAGTTGGCTCTCAGTATCCATGGGGCTTTTGGTTCGAAAGTAGATATCAAAAAATTTGGATGCTCAAGTCAGTATTTAAAATTTAAAACTACCTGCAATCAACTGCAGCCAGGCTAAGTGGTCCTAGGACACTTGCAGAGGCTACAACAGCAAGGCCTGGGTAACAGGCATACATTTTTCTGGCTTTGGCTACAGTGATTCTGCTCATTCCATCAAAAGGCAGAAGTGCCTACTGCTGTACTTACTGTCACTGGCTTCTCAGTTTTCGCTGATGAAAGTCAATCCCACCATGAAGGCTCAAACAGAATTTAAACCCCTTCCTCACTCCCTTTCCCACATTATGAAGGTATGATGGCATGCATCTCTGCCAACAGAGCTTGGTTTGAGATGCAAACTGCTGCTAGCACTGGAATCCGAATTTCTTAGCAGTAGTCCACATTTTATGCTTGTGTTCCAACTTGGAACCAGTATTTCAGTAGAAGAGTTCAAACTCATTGAACAGTAAGTCTTCAATCATGGTCTTAGCATAATCTCTAATTCGAAAGTCCTGAAGAATGTAACCAGGCATTTTGTCTTATTGCAGTTGCTCCCACAAGTACCTTCCCAATGCAGTCTGTAGTGTCTGGCTGTTTGAATGTTGTCTAGCCAGAGCATGGGTCTCAGCTTTAAGGATGGAGACTACTTTTGGCTCTTCTTCAGGTAGCCTCTAAATATACGGAGGCCTTGTCCAATAGAAGTTGCTGATATGCACCCATACAGCCATCATAATTAGCAATCTGAAAAAGCAAAGCTGCAGTAGAATAGAATTTATGCCCTATGGCATCTAATTTTTATCTTTTCTATCAGCTGCATAAAAATGCATATTGTGGGAAGGTCTGGATTGAGAGGTATCAATGATAGCAGAATTTGGCTTTGGGTTCTGCATCCAACAGTTAGCTCCTGGATCCATGACTATATACAAACCTTCCAGATTCTTTGAGATGGATGGTACTG